CTCTTGCGGTGTCTTCGAATAGACTTAAATCTGAGACTCAGAACTTCAGATTTATTCAGCACATCCAATTCAAGGAAAATATGATTTTTAAAAAATCAGTACTTTTGATTATGCGATACCTTCCATGATATTTTTTGATAAAGGGTGTTAAATGAAACCTTTGATTAGTTAGAGTCTCGTTGATTTCTTCGTTCATCCGCCGTTCGTTCTCCGCCATGCAAACATTTCTAAAACATGGATGGAGCCTCCTGAGGGACATATTCAGGTCTGCGCCCCTTTTCACCCACTTAAACGAGTGAAAAATGCGTTAGTAGACGCTATAGTTGGCTTTAATCTCTCACCAGACGTCTTTTTAGGGGGGATTTTGATAGAAAGTCGGAGAGACTCTGAGCCGAAGGGAGCTGTGACTGGATTTTGTGAAGTTTTCCACTTTGATTCACGCTCACTGTGTGAAGAGGAAGCCCTCAAAGCGAAAAGGCCTCCGATTATCGTTGGACTTTTGCCAGCAGGCTTCATCCATCTTTTACAGAAACGGCTAAAACTGGCAGTTCTCTGTCAGTCTGAAGCTCATTTCCTCAAATTCTTTCAACTTTTTTTAATGAGGCAGCCGCCCGGCACAATGTTTTCCCCAAGAGGGCAAAAAAAAAACCCCATCTCCTCCCATTTTATTGACATTTTTTTTACCTCTCCCTTCGGCCGTTTTCTCTCGTGTGTTTGAGCTTTGGCCCGTTTTGTCCACACTTGAACGTTTGCCAATCAGAGCAGGAAATGAAAAGCACCCAAACCTAGAGAAAAGTGGCGTCCTGACAAGGACCGGCCTCCAAAATGAGAGTAATAGTAATAACGAGATTCTGGCTGATAGTTAAAAAGCACTTTCCACCGTTTGGGTGAAGCTTCCTGCTCTGAGAACAAACCCAGACGTGTCATTGGTCAGTGGCAGAAACAAGAGATAAGAATCACGGTTCCCAGACCCCGTGTCCTGTTCTGACCTGTGTTAAAACCTCTTGTGTGTTTTCGGGGTCGCACAACCTCTCTGCCAGATGTTACTCACACTCGTATTCGGGCACATGAAGGAAAGTACGATCCATTTTAGGGTTAGATTTTCGTCTGAACGACTGCCCTCGTTCTTCTTTG